GAAATGAAAGAAATAATGATAAATACTCTTTCTCTTTTCTATTTCTGGCGATACATATATACATACATACATACATATATATATATATATATATATATATATATATATATATATATATATATATATATATATATATATACAATTGTGGAAAAATTGGGGCCTTCTGCAGCTACACAAAAAATGGAATCTCTTAACCAAACAAAAAATACACAAAATTTTCAATCTAGATCTCTAGGGAGAAGGATTATCAGTTAATTCTTAATATCCTTAAATCGAAACATAAACTTGCAGAACATTTTTATTATTTATTTTATTTTGTATTTTTATTTTCTTTTGTATTTTATTATTTATTTCATGTTGTATATTTTATATGTTAATATTTCTGGGCAAAATACTGAATTGTAGAATATGAAATTATTTAATTGTATGTAATATTTCAGTCAGTTATGTGTCATGCGTGACCAAACGCTTTCGATACATGACTGACGAGACTGATTTTTTTCCGTATACCTGCATTTCTTTCTACAGTAGACCAGTTGCCATCCAAGGCTATAGAACCCGATCTGTCATGCTATTTACTTATAGCTGGGGGTGGGGTGGAGAAGGAGAGGATTCATACCTTCCTCAAGGTAAATAATTGATTCTTCCATCCGAGCCGTTATCCATTACTCCACTGTGCCTCTTAATATTTACTTTTTTTTTTTTTTTTTTTACAGTGGAGTTCAGAGTTACTTAAACTTTTTGGCAATGATCCAAAGTCTATCACAGAAGCCAATGTATTCAAAAGATTTGCGTAAGGCATAATTTTATTTTTAAATTCGCGTAAACCTAAAATCTGTCTGTATGCTTCCATCTTACATCAGCAGAACAAAACAGCCCGACCACTAACACGTAATATATATATGCTATCAGCTTTATATATATATATATATATATATATATATATATATATTATTATTATTATTATTATTATTTTATTAAAAATTGCGTTTACAACATCAGTAATATTTAATTTACATTAAAAGCCTATTTTAGTAAATATTTAATCTCTGCTAATAATTGAAGTCTTTAAAATTGCCATAAACATATAAGCAATGTTTCAGTCAATATTTTGTAATTCGACATTTTTGTATAGAATGAACTTATATCTGACTTGTCAAACGTAAAGTAAATGAATCTTGGCTTCTAAAAATAACGTTTTCTAAAAAAAAAGAAATGGATATACAGTAATAATTTTAAAAATATTTTTGAAATTCTATCATTTTAAGCTTGGCAACGCCTGTTACAATTGTATTTCCTGCGGCGTTTGTAGTAACCATTGTTGGCATCTGCCATTTCAAATTGCGCCAAATTAGTCAAGCGGGCCGAAATTATCTAAATAAGTCAAAATAATCTGATTTTCTTCACACTGTATTAAATTATTTAAACAATTGAGAACATTTTACTGGAATATTATTAATATTATTACAAATATTAAAAAAATTACGCATCTACTTTTATTAAAGATTTATGCAGCTATGTCTAAAATATAAAATTCAAGTGGATTTAGCATAATGGCAAATGAAATTTAGAATATAGAGTGCAGAATCTCCAGTTACACGTACCTCGGCCAATGAGGTAAACGCTTTATGGCAATCAAGATTCTGAAGACACAGTTTTGTTCGTCAGCAGGCATATTGAAAGCCGAAAATGTGAAACTAGAAAAAAAAGAAAGAAATACAAAGTTTAGTTCAGTCGGAATAAGAAAATAAACAAAATAGAGAGAAGTAACAGAAAGAAGAAATGAAATTGTCTAAATGGGGAAAGGAAGAACTATGAGTTTGCAATAATTTAGTTATTTATTTAGTATGCTACTAAACACAGCGTTAAATAATAACACAGTGTGAGAACAGTAAACACATTGTAAAAAAAAAGGGTTTCACATGACGAAGTATAAGTAGCAATCTGTCTATATTTCTGAAATTCTGTAATTATTTACATTGTTCCGACTACTGTCCTCATCTTCGTTGCCACATTCACGACGTTTCGACCGCTGTATTCTGCGGCCTTCTTCAGGTTATTGGAATTTCGAGCTGAACCCCCTATTTCGTCTACCGATTTAGATTGTTCTAGTTCCACCTGCCATGCCTCTTCTAGAGGTCTCTGTTTTCTCCCTTTTAACTCAACTCCCCAAGTTTTTGTTCACCTCTGCTGTAGCTAGGTATTGAACTCTCTGGATTAAACCAACGTTTTTATCCACTGCGCTATGTGTCGTTGCCATATTCACGTCGTGAATATGGCAGCGAAGATGAGGACAACAGTTCGAACAATGTAAATAGTGTAAATAAGCAAAATAAATGTTCACATTCACAAAGTGTTTTTTTTAATCATTTCACTCAAAACAAGACAATAAAGCCACTAAGACACAAGGGGGAGGCTACTGAGTGTTAGAAAATATGAGAAACACTATTAATGAAGAACAATAAAAGAACAAAACAACGATTGATACTGCATTCAAATTTTTGAAGATCCAAGTTAACTGGGAAGCAAGAACCAGCAAAAGAGTTCCACAAGCGACAAATGCGATAGAAGAAATTGTTAACATAGAACTTACGGTTTCGACCATAAAATGATAGGACCTTGCCGCCAATAGAGTACTGCGCATAAATTCATGGTCTAGATACCATAGATGAAAGTGATATTTATTTTGAAAGATAAATTATGTGACACAAGGCCAGAAGTCTGGATGAGAGTAAACCGGTCTTCAATATGTCTTATCTTAAACTTAACTAGCCACAAACACTGACCCAAACAAAGTAAAATATTCCTTGCACCAAAACAACATATTCTTAATTACCATTCTTACTACAACCACCGCAATACCTCAGGGTCTCTATGAACTTATTACTCCCCATATGTACAATTTGTCTGTGAGGGTAAGGAATAAAAATATCAACCATAGATGTAAGATCATCAGAACAAATACTATGAAAGTATTTATAGAAAAGGCAGAGGGGAGCTACGTTACGGCGATGGAAAGGTAACAGAAGCCGAGATGCCAGGTCAGGAACAATAACATTGCAGATTCTTCAGATGTTATTAATGGTTACATTAAACAAACTGAAGCCAAGACTTAGAGAAAAAAAGATAAGAAATTACATAGCGTCGATACTATTATTTGGGGGTAGAATTTGGGAAATAGAAGAATTGGCGATCTCTTGATTTCAGCTTGTCACATATTTGCAGGTTTCTTGTATTTTCTAAGGACTAAAGTGCAGGGGATCAAAATGCTGACTAATCTAACATGCACCAAAAGAAAAAGGAGTGAACAAAAGGAAATGAAACAATAAATGTGCTGTACTTAAGAGAATTTCAATCTGGTTGAAACTGTTGTTTATACAGTAATTTTATTATTTCAGTTTTATTATTTCAGTTTTATTATTTCAATTTTATTATTTTAATTTTATTATTTCAGTTTTATTATTCCAATTTTATTATTTCAGTTTTATTATTTCAGTTTTATTATTTCAATTTTATTATTTCAGTTTTATTATTTCAGTTTTATTATTCCAATTTTATTATTTCAGTTTTATTATTTCAGTTTTATTATTTCAATTTTATTATTTCAGTTTTATTATTTCAGTCTTATTATTTCAGTTTTATTATTTCAGTTTTATTATTTCAGTTTTATTATTTCAATTTTATTATTTCAGTTTTATTATTTTAATTTTATTATTTCAGTTTTATTATTCCAGTTTTATTATTTCAGTTTTATTATTTCAGTTTTATTATTCCAGTTTTATTATTTCAGTTTTGTTATTTTAATTTTATTATTTCAGTTTTATTATTCCAGTTTTATTATTTCAGTTTTATTATTCCACTTTTATTATTTCAGTTTTATTATTTCAGTTTTATTATTCCGGTTTTATTATTTCAGTTTTATTATTTCAGTTTTATTATTTTAATTTTATTATTTCAGTTTTATTATTTCAGTTTTATTATTTCACCTTTATTATTTCAATATTTACATTATTCGGACTATTGTCCTCATCTTTTTCGCCATATTTATTACAATGAATATAAATATGGAGACAAAGATGAGGGCAATAGTCCGAATAATATAAATAGTGTACATAATACCTCATCTCAGATATATAGACAGTTTATTATTTCAGTTTTATTATTTCAAATTTACTCTTATTATTTCAATTTTATTATTTCAGTTTTAGTATTTCAGTTTTATTATTTCATTCAGTTTTATTAATACAATTTTATTATTTCAGTCCTATTATTTCAGTTCTTCTCCCCCAGCTATGAGTAAATAGCAGGACAGAACGGGTTCTATAGATGGCAAATGGTCTACCACAGAAAGAAATGTCATCCTACTGCGGAAAAAATCTGCCTCGTCAGCCATGTATCGAAAGATACATGATTGCCTAAGTGTGTATCACGCATGACTGACCCAAACTCATATATAAAATAAAAATCAATTAAATAATTTTAAATTTCAGTGGCTCTTTTCCTTCGTACACTTGTGTATTTACATCAAAGTTAACAGTCCGATGAAGAACGAAACGCGTGTCACGAAAATAATTTCTATTAATTTATTGATTTTTTTACGGTTTATCAACCTTTTTAAGATTATTTAAAGCCGGAAACTAGTTTTAGATTGCAAAAATTTTGGGGAGATAATAATGATTTACTTACAGAAATCCTACTATTTAACCCATAGCTGAAGGGAGAATAGATGGATTTATACATTTGCTCAAGGGTATTTGCGCGCATGTGAATATAACGAACTCGACTGGAATTGGAACTCAGCACTAATATTTCCAATCTAGAGCGTTATCAATTACACCAGCCGCACATTCAAACTTACAGTACCTGGTATTCACAAGCGAACACCTATACTGACCAAGCATGACGTTGCTTAACTTGCCTGATCGTACGGGGGTTTCAATGTGATCTGGCCGTAAGCCTATTTTCACTTGATCTTTCTGTCAAAACTCGTTTATTTCCCCATGTCTCTCTCTCTCTTCTCTCTCTCTCTCTCTCTCTCTCTCTCTCTCTCTCTCTCTCACTCACTCACTCACTCACTGGTCCACCCCACAACTATTCTCTTTCTAATCCATGCTCTACGTAACATATAACTATTTTAAACACTTTGCTCTGTGCCATCGTCTTTCTGTTCGGCCCCGCCCTTGTTCACGGCTCGTTTGCTAGATTGTTATATCAAATATCTTTTCTCCTCCCTTAAAGGCAGACAACAGTGGCCGGTAATCCAAGCAGGGACCCTCGAGTCCTTTGCTGCTACATCCTATTACTTGCTTCATTCTCCGTTTTCTTTGGATACAGGATCGAACGTTGACCTTGTACGATCGTTATTGTTTCCGCCATATTGATTTACATGATACTTACTTGACAATGAACAAAAGGACAAACAATATATAATGTATTGTCAAACAATGACCAATGTCGTATAATAACCGGCATTGAAAACTGACACTATAAATCGGACTTCACGACGAGCAAAAAAAAAAAAAGTTGCCTTTATTTAATACAGCAGTTCTCAATTTTTTTTATTCCATTAAACAAAGAAAAAACTGCTATTCCCTATTATTCCAATCAATCCTCCTATACGGCAGTGAATGCTGGACAATTCCCTCAAAGATACAGAAGATAATTGAAGCAACGGAGATGTGTATTTTATTTTATTTTATTTTTTTTTTTTTGTACGAAGTCAGTCAGTTATACACGTTACACGCTTGGGAGGTTGTGTCTCTTTCAATTTTCTTGAGGTCGGTTGCCGTTTCTTTATGTGGTAGACCAACTGCCAACCAAGAATATAGGACCAAGTTTGTCCTGCTATTCAACCCATAGTTCCGGGGAGAAGAGTTAGATTCATACATTTCCCAAGAGTATTTGCGTGTAAGTCATTGTAAAAAACCCAACTAGAATTTGAACTCGGCCCTCCGAGCTTTTACTGAAAATGTGTGTAACAACTGCTAATTGATTCGTTTTCTACGGCTTATCAACCCTTTGCAGGTTATTTAAAGCCAGAAATTTTTTTTTTTTTTTAGAGAGAATAACGGTTTAGTGATTTTTATACTGGTGAGACGGAAAAGTACGAGAATGAGGAAAAATCAAACAGTTATGTCCAGACCCCAAAAAGAAATGTATTGAGCAAAATTTTCATAGGAGATGTTGCAATTGAATGTCCCACATTTCCTATTGCATGTGTTGTCTGACTATATAGGTAGATATATATAATGAGCACAGGATATACCTAGGGACTTGCTTCGGGAGTTACTAGCCTGCTAACCGATTCCCTGACTTTCAGTAGTGTATTTTCTTTTGCAATAAACCTCTCTTTCTTTCATCTATGCCCGTGTTGCTGTTCCTTTTACTCGAGTACCACCTTTATCTGTTTGTAACCTTCTTTAAGTATGCAAAAGTGATACAAGACTTACTAATTAACCCATACATGTTTGTGTGGACACGATTATTAGTTATAATTTGAAATACACTTTGATTTATTTCAGAAATTGTAGGATATTATATGGACTAATGTCATGAAAGACTTCTTCCATGATGTTTCATTGGTTGGTTGATTTTCTTTGGCGGCATATCAACGTCTGTGGATTATTTAATGACGACATCTAAATATTTTGTACATAATTTTATACTTACAGAGTAAAGGTATGTTTTCGATATATATTTTGTAGATCATAAAATGCATTAGTAATTTTACTATAAAAATGTTCTGATGATTTGTATTTGCTTTTCATTATTTGCCCAGAGCTAAGTCCCTAACAGGTGCTGCCACTCAGGCTCAGGATGGACCTGGGAGCAACAGAAATTAAGAAGTTATTTCACGATCCTCCAAACTTCCAATCTCCCGATCAGAGGCCTTGCTGCCTTATCTAGCTTACTGTCATACCCAGGACGGGAAGGGTTTTATCATATATTCAATAATAATAATAATAATAATAATAATGAAATTATTATATATGTGTATAGATATATAAAAAGTACTATTAATGGTGGGTTTTATGAATATTAATAGGTCTTACATATATTAATATTGGTAAAATCTGTTTGTTTTTAGATATACATGAGTCAATAAACTCATTTCTCTTATTTAGCATTTTTTCTTTATCTATACACATATATAATTCCATATTATAGATCGTATTTGTAATTTCACATTTAATAAAGCTAGGTTCTAAATGCATTATATATATAATTTCAATCTATGATTATGTTAATATCGTGAGAGCTAAGTTTATTACACATGACATTAATTTAATAATATATTGTAACAACGGTTTTTTATGCAAAAAAAAGAGAGTTGATATATAGCGGCTTTACGTAAATCCAATTTTTTTTTTGTTTTTAAATTATTTAAAATGTTTTTTTCATTTTTCGTCTTTCGAACTTAAGAATTTAAATGATATAAATTATAAATAATTAATTATATAACAAAATATAGCAATAATAAAATAAACAAATCTTAATACAGAATTTTAAATCAACCCCACGAGAACGCGAATTTTATAACATTTAACAGTCAGTGAGTATTTTGCACTTGAAGACTGCGTGTTTGCATGAAATTCTGAGTCGTGCTATTGACGTGGGATATTATGTATATTCACTAATATCTACTTAATAGCTCTGTTATATAACACTGAGCACTGTTTTTATAACACCCGAGAAAAAGATCAACTGTATGCGCATATACGTATGCTTTATTTATAATACCCATAAACACACTCACACATACACACACACACACACACACACACACGTATATATATATATATATATATATATATATATATATATATGAAAAATTTCTGTGGGTTTTGTCCAAAGTAGAAAGTTGCAATTGCTGCATACAATCAGACCGACTGACTATTCAAAAACAGAAAAGAAATGTTGTATTATGCAACCATATAAGGTAATATTTGCTATACCATCACTGAGTGATAAGCAAATTGAATACTGTTAATTCACTCTCCATATTGAAGTTGTGATTTCTGAAAAAGACTTGATGATCCTGTGTAAATAAAATGGTAGCTCAGTACTAAGAGAGCAATTAGTAATATTATCTCTATTACTTTTAAATACTCTGTAATTATTTTACACATTTTTCTTTTTTATAATGTATCTATATATATATGTATGTGTATGTGTGCGTGTGTGTGTGTGTGTGTGTGTAACGATATAATAAAAGTAACAGATGTGAAAATTGAGGCGACAGGCTGTTTTATGCTGGACGCAATCATCAGGCCGCGAATTATATCTATCTATATATATATATATATATATATATATATTGTGTGTATTGCGGCTCATTATTCAAACATATCTTGTTAAATATAACAGACAAGGAATGTCTATTATGCTTGATGATGAGCCGTTCTAAACTTCGTATAGTTGCTTTAATTTTGGGAGAAAATAAAAACAAAAATTATCCAACATTTGGATATTTTTATTATGCTGTTCCTTGATCTAAGCTTTCGGCTCACATGTTGGACAAGTTTTGATTTTATTTTCTCCCGAAATTAAAACAACTATACGAAATATAGAACGGCTCATGATCAAACATAATAGACATTCGTTGTCTGTTATATTTAACAATATATTTTTAAATACCCACATATATATATATATATATATATATATATATATATATATATATATATATATATATTCCAAAATTATAACATAAGCATATTATAACATCTCTACCAAAATGGGGTTCAGCACCATCGCTTGATAAGACAGCAGACGTGTTGAAACAAAATGGCTATTTTTGTAGTGATGTTATAATATGTTTATATTATAATTTTGAATGAATAATATTTGCTTCTACTCTGTATTGAGCACTCTCTTAATAGTGTTTTTTGGTTATTTGAATTTTATTCTGACTACACTAATCCTACTCTTGGATATATATATATATATATATATATATATATATATATATATATATATATATATATATATATATATAATTAAGTATTTAGGGCAGCAGTCGCTCCTTTGTACAAGTTTCATTAAAACGACTAACAAGGTACGGCCGTTCTTGTTAGTTAGAAGGTCATGTAATTTAATAATTTGCTGTCCAAATACAGAATTATTAAATTACATGACCCGGCAGCCAACAAGATAAAAACAGGCGTACCTTGTTAGTCGTTTTATATATTACATCGTTACACACACACACACACACACACACACACACATATATATATATATATATATATATATATATATATATAACGATATAATATATATAGAGATATAGAGTATTTAGAGAGTATAATATTTATATATATTTCTAATATGCAAGGCGAATACTTTTCTACTTTACACATTTCATATATTTATTGTTTAATAATATCGAGAGAGATCTGTCTACCCAATGTTTTTATTAACTTTTCAAATTTCCGGATTATTTTTATTTATTTTTTTTTTATTATTATGCAAAACAGTTACATAAACATACAAAAAAACGAAATCCTCGAACACGTATGTGGTAACATTCGAAAGTACTCGGGGAAAAAACAACAAATAAAAATGAACTTTCGTAAATTCACCGATTATATAATTAAACTAATTCGGAAATTTGAAAAAAGTAAATCAGCTGGACAAATCTCTGTCGATATTACTCTATAAAACATAATATATATATATATATTTATGTCGATAAAACTCAATAAAATATAATATATATATATATATATATATATATATATATATATATATATATATATATATATGTATGTATGTATCTAGATAGATAGATAGATAGTCATTTTAAACGTTATTTTTAGTGGATACTGGTATTTGAGAAGGCACTCCGTTTATTTATGAACAGTATATTTATTTATTTATTTTCACCTACCGGTCTGAATATGCAATAAATCTTATAACAGAAAAATTCCCGCCCTTCAATATTTTATTGTAACATGAAAGTTCTAATAATAAACACTTATTTTAATGGATTTTATGCTTTTAAGCTTATATATGTTTATTTATTATTTGTTTGTTTACCGGCCTGAATATTCGAGAAATCTTTGAGAAAAAGAATCTAGTATTTTTCCACTAATAAAATTTCTTTACACACACACACACACATATATATATATATATATATATATATATATATATATATATATATATATATATATTATAAATTAATTGATTTAAAATGTTTTTTTCGATACACAGTTCTAACCATGTTTCAAAAAATGGAGGCTGAAAGCTCCGAATTTAATTTTGTAATTAAATTAAAGACATTAGTTCCATTTCATCCTCAAGTGAATTTTGGAGTAACTTTTAAAATTACTGGGTTTTAAAGGCA